CTCCTAGTCCTCCATTCACCTTGCTACCACAGATATCCTCCCATTTCACCCACGAAATCTTCCTCTTCTCGTCATTCCCCCCATCCCCACCACCCCACAAAAATACCCTTTGAATTTTAACTAATTGAGCATTCACAGAACTTGGCATCAATAATAAAGACATAAAAAAAGTAGGGAGAGCAGAAAGTACCGACTGAAGTAGCGTGAGGCGACCGCCAAAGGACAGTAGGGCAGATTTCCAGACGGCAAGTTTACCACAAAACTTTCTAACTATTGGATCCCAAAACTTCTTGTTCCTTGGATTTTCACCAATTGGCATTCCCAAGTAAGAGAAAGGTTTCACCCCTATACCACATCGAAGCGTACCTACAGCTCCTCTTACCCAGCTCTCTTTCACATTAAGTCCATAGATACTGCTTTTGCTGTAGTTAATCCTCAGCCCTGACATTATCTCAAACCATCTTAGAATAGCTTTGACCATAAGAATATTTTCACTGGCAGCTCTTCCCAAAATAACCGTATCATCTGCGAATTGCAGCAAGGAAACCGTCAGCCCCCTTTTACCAATCTCTATTCCCTGTAGCAGTCCTTCAGTCCCTGCTTTTTTAACCAATCCATTTAACCCCTCCATAATCATCAGAAATAGAAATGGAGATAAAGGATCCCCTTGCCTCAACCCTCTCTCCAAATAAAACTCCTCCGTTGGGCTGCCATTTACTAGCACCGAACACCATGTGGTTGAGAGACATTCCTTAATCCACCCCCTCCATTTGACTCCAAAACCAAATCTATCCATCATCCAATCCAGATATGACCAGTTAACACAATCATAAGCTTTTTGAAAATCTGCCTTAAAAACAAAAGCTGGTGTCTTCCTATTCCGAACCTCATCCACAACTTCATTTAAAACCAAGACACTGTCAACTAATTGTCTTCCCCCAACAAAAGCAGATTGTGTTTCACTGATAATTTCTGACATAACATTTTAAAGCCTATTAGCTAGCACCTTTGACAGTAATTTGTACACACAACCAATCAAACTAATAGGCCTAAAGTCTTTCAATTCCCTAGGATTCAGCTTTTTAGGGATTAACGTAAGGAAGGAAAAATTCAGCCCCTTCACTAACTTGCAACTTTGATGAAATTCACGAAAAAATTCAACAAAATCATCCTTAATACTATTCCAGAAAAATTTGAGGAAATTAAGGTTATACCCGTCAGGCCCCGGGGCTTTACTTCCATCGCAGCTCTTCAATCCTTCTTCAATCTCCTCAACAGTGAAGGGTCTCTCAAGCCATACCATCTGCTCTTCAGAAATTTTCTTGAAATCAATATTTGAAGGCTTGGGCCAATCCCAAGATTCTTCTTGAAACAACTTGCGGAAGTAAGACATCACCTCTTTCTTAACCATAATTGGTTCCTCTACCCAGTGACCATCACTCATTATTCCCTGGATACTATTAAGTGCCTTTCTCCCATTTGCAACCTTGTGGAAATACCGGGTATTCTGGTCCCCCAATTTAACCCAATCGCTTCTTGATTTCTGCTTCCATATAGCCTCTCTCAACCTCAACATGTCCCATATCTGCTGAAAACCTTCTTTCCTTTGTTTCACCTCGCTTCCCTCCAGATCCACCACTTCATTTTTCAAATCAATCCTTTCAACTTTTTCTGCAACATTTTTGAATTGTGTTTCCATGTTCCCAAACACCTCCTTATTCCAGCCTTTTAGGAATTCTTTTAATCTCCTTAGCTTTTGCAAGCATCTGTATCCAGCATACCCTTCCACATTTAATTCCTTCCATTTGTCCTCCACCGCCTTCCTAAATTGTGGGTGTTGTTGCCATGCATCAAACATTCGAAAAGGCTTCGGTCCCCAATCTGCTGCTGATGTTTTGACCATAATCGGACAATGATCTGACACAGTCCTCTTCAGTCCTTGCTGCACCCATTCCCTTCCCAAATTGCACATCTCATCCGACATCAAGACCCTGTCTAACCGACTCATAGACGATCCATCCGGCCTATACCACGTGAAACGTCTATTGACCAGCTTTAAATCCACCAAGTCAGTTGACACAATAAAATCATCAAAAGCCCTCATTTCCGTTGTCTCCCCTGACTTACCTTTCTTTTCATTTGCACACCTAACAACGTTAAAATCTCCAGCAATCAGCCATCGACCTTCATCCTCCACTATCATATGCCGAAGTTCTTCCCACAGCTTGAGTTTCTTTTGTCTATCATTTGGGGCATAAATATTCACCAAATTACACTTTAACTTATGTTGTCCCCATTCACCTAAAATACCCACAAACCCATCACCTGAAAACTCCCCTTGTTTCACAAATTCCAACCTATTCCAAACACACAACAAACCTCCAGATGCTCCTATCGATTCCTTCATCACCCAATCAAATTCATCCGAAAACCACATCATTTTACAAAGATTCCCCTGCACCATCTCTAATTTTGTCTCCTGCAAAAATAATACATCCGATCACTCAGCTTTTACCATTTTTCCCACCTCCTTCCTCTTCAACACACTCCCTAACCCCCTCACATTAAATGATATTAGTTTCATAAGAAAACATAATATAGACTCACACCAAGCCTTACCAGATCACCAATTCCCTTTCTAACCCCTCCCCTGCCCTTCGTCCCTCACCTCTAACTCCATTAATCTTGACTAAACTTCCTCATCATTTTCACCCACTTCTATACCCAAACGTTTGCCTAAATTAAAAATCCTTCTTAACTCCTGAATGTTCATCTCCCTGCGTATCACCTTGTTTCTGTGAGCTATGCACCCGTCAGACAAGGAGGAGCTCCCAGCCCGTTGATCCTGCACCGCCGCCCCATTCTGGACTTTCTGTTGTTCTTCCTGGTTTCGGTGATGCCTCTGCATGATTGTGTCTGATCTCTCTTGAGCCTTCACTTCACATCCTGCGAGCTTCTCTTGTGGGTAGCAAGCTTTTAGATCTTTCTTTTTTTTCTCTCTCGAATCCCTATTTCCCAAATTAACACCATTATTCAACTCCCCCTCAAATGTCCCCTGCACATCACCTAAATTGCCGATTATGATCTTCGGCCCATTCCCAGTGTCTCTTGATTCTTGCACTTGAGAAATGCTCACATTTAGCCCAAACTCTTCTTCTGGCCCATCTTTTGCATCCCTTATCAGGCCCTTTTGGTTATTGAGCCCATCCAACTCCTTGTTCACCTCTCTCGCAGACCCCTTACTTTCTGTAGTTACATCTTTTTTTGAATTCGAATTTCCCTTTGCCTTTAACCGTTCCCCATCAATCTCATCTACGTCATCTACATCATCACATTGAATCACGAAAAAATTGAAATCGTGATACTCTTCACCCTGTTCCGACAAGGAATTATCGGAAATCGTTTCTGCCTCCTCCCTCCGATCAACCTCCGACAACCACCAATCCGGGTCGGCCCTCCACTCTTCCTCCGTCACTCCAATCTGATACAACGTCTCCTCCACTTTTAACTTCAATGTCTTTACAATTTTGTTCCTTTCAGAACATAAAATCATCACTCTTCCATCACACAAAATCGACTTGGATTTTGTATCTTCATGCACCAATACTACTTCCCCTAACGAAGCTGCTATCTTCTCAAAACATCTATCACTCCAAGCTTTTAAAGGAACTCCAGATATACGCACCCAAACCATTCTACCATAATTTTGAGGTGCCACATCCCATGAATGTATTTTCTCAAACCAGAGCTCAAATAACTCTTTGTGTTGTTGCACATACTCATTCAAATAACCCGCCAATCTCTCCGTTAATAATATGCTTCTCCCTCCCAATGGTGATATATTTATCAAACCCCCATCCACATCCAATCTCTCTTGAATAATAGAGATCATTGACATGGACTTAACGACTACTATCATGCTCCCCTGCAACCATTGATTCTCCTCTTTCAATGGGCAAAATTCTATAATTTCCTCCCTATTGTGCCCCGAGTTCATAACTCCCTCCTTATCCTCGGAGCTTTTCCCCTCAAGATTCGCAGACTTCCTTTGAATAATAGATAATCTATCCATAGCTGCAGATTTCTCCTTCTTTTTTGCTTGTTTATTCAGAACCAAAGCACTATGTTTCCTTGAATCCCCCATAACAGCCTGAACGTATGACAATCCTGGTTGTACAAAACGCTACTCCCTGATACCCACTTTCAGCCTAGCACTTCTTCGATGCCCAAACCCTCTCTGTACCCTGTCAGTCCCAGCCTTCTTCCCAGCACACCTCTGATTTCCTATCTCTCGCTGCCTCCTGGCAAATGCCACTCTTGCCCTCAGCTTATAGGACTCGATCCATATCCTATTTAGTCTCTCTTCGAGTTGCTTAACATCTTGCACTCCTAGCATTCAGACAAATCCAAACCGTTTCCCCCATCTATCTCTCTTACTTGGGACAAACACATCAACAACCTTTCCATAATTCTGAAACTGGTACCACAAAGCCTTCGCATCCCATTCCTCTGGGAAGTTGTAAATGAAGAACGATTCTACCTGTCCCTGAGTCCTATTCCTAGAATCTCCTCTCCTCCAATTGTGTCCTTGCCGCCATTTGGATCTGCCGCCGTCCTGAGTCGCTGCACCCCACGCCATTGTCACAGCAAACCTTATTTAGAGATTAAAATTTGTTTTTAAATATCTGTCGTTTTAGGATTTCTATACAACATTAATTTTTTTCTTCCAAATTTACCATTCTTACTTACCTATAATAAATACAAAAACCAGAATTAAGAAAAAGAAAGGAACGCATTTGTCCGTGATAAATGGTAAAGCATTAGAAGGGTAAAATTGTATTTTAAA